CCATAAAAAAAGGTTATTTCCCAAGGGGCCCCCCCGACCCTATATGTTTTGGTTTTCCAATGGGACCCAGTACCCTTTAAAAAGGTTGAGTTCCATAGGGCCCAGTACCCAATAGATTGGGTTTCCATAGGGGACCCCATACCCTATATAGATTTGATTCATTGGGACCCAGTACCCATATAGATTTTTGATTTCAAATTTGGGACCAGGACCTAATAGGGGTGATTCCATATGGGAAATACCCTATTAAAAGGGGTGGTTTCCATTGGGCCCCCCCCCTTTTGGTTATTCCTTCCCTCCTTTTTGTTCCATATCCCCCTCCCTTGGTTTTTCCTTTCCCCTCCCTTTTTTTTATTTTTTCCCCTCCCCTTTGGGGGTTTTTTCCTTCCCCCCTTTTAAATTTTTCCTTCCCCCCCTTTTTTTTAAAAATTTCCCTTTTTCCCCCTCATCCCCTTTTTTTTTTTTTTTTTTGGGGGGGGGGGGGGGGGGGGGGGGGGTTTTTTTTGGGGGGGGGGGGGCCCCCCCCCTCCCCCCCCCCCCCCCCCCTTTTTTTTTTTTTTTTTTTTCCCCCCCCCCCCCCGGGGGCCCCCCCCGGGTTTTCCCCGGGGCTTGCTTTTCCCTTTTTTTTTTTTCTTTTCCCTTTCTTTTTTCCCTTCCCTTTTTGGGGGTGTTTGTGATTGTGTGTTGTGGGGGCGTGTGTGATTGTGTGTGGGGGGGGTTTTTGGGTTTTTTTCCCGGGGGTTTTGGCTTTTTTGGGTGACATGGGGGAAAATCTGGGTTTTCCCCGGGTTTCAGGGCCATTTCCCCCAGAGGCCCCCACAAAGGAGATTACTCCATCTTTTTCCCCCCCAAATTTGTTTTAAAACCTATTCACTGCGTTCTCCCCCCCCTGGGTGCTTTAGTTTGCATGTCTGCTTTGTTGTGGTGTCGGTGCTGCCCGGGAGGTTGCCTCCGTCGGGCATTTTTACATTTTTTTAAGACCCCCCTGCACAATGATTCTCCTCGATACATAACCCTGTCTTGCTGTCGTTTTTTCTAAATGGATATCCCGTCGAGTTTTAATGTGAATTTTCAGTTTCAATTATTGAAAACACCCCTGCCCAGGGTTTCCCCAACCCTGTTCGGAGGCTAAATTCCTGTAGGTTTTGGACTTGGTTTTGCCCCCCCTATCTAGGCACCTGATTTTAATTTTGACGTTGAAAATTAAATCAGGGTATTACAATGGAGTAGCTCCCAGGGAACAGGGGGAAAAAAGTTTAAAAAACCCCTACTGGAGGGTAGCTCTCCCGAACGGGGGTTGTGGGGGTTTTAAAAACCTCCTGGAGGGGGGTAACCTCCCGGGAAAAACGGGGTTTGGGGGTTTAAAAACCTATGGAGGGTAACTCTCCAGGAAAACAGAGTTGGAGTTTTTTTAAAAAAACCTACTGGGGGTAATCCCGGGAAAAGGGGGTTGGATTTTTTAAACCTACTGGAGGGGAACTCCCCCAGGAAAGGTTGGATTTTAAACCTAGGAGGGTTACCTTCCCAGGAAAAAAAGGGTTGGATTTTAAACCCCTCTGGGGGGTAGCTTGGAACGGGTTGGAAGCCTGCAAAGATTGTTGTGCCGATAAAAACGTTTGAGAAAAACCCCTACACCATGTTGACACCAAAACATTTATACATTAAGAAATCCAGCTGTATGCCACTTGTAAAGTTTATTCGAAATTGGCAACCAGAACTTTCACCCCTTTGGTTGTACAGGAATACGAGCTACGACAACTTTTTCCCAGTATTTTAAAGGATAAAAACGACTGGGGCTTTTAAAATCACACTAGATGTTGTCTCCCCCCCAAACCCCCCCCCCCCCCCCGTCTTGAAAAGGGTTGAACCCCTTGTTTTTTTTTACTTATGCGAAACCTCTTTGAAAACCTTTGAGATTTGTTTCTGAATGGTGGGGGTTGGGTGGTTGTGTGGGGGGGTGTGGGGGTGTGGGGGTTGCATGTTGTCGGCGGGGGAAAATAATGGTGAGAAGGAATTGTTTTGACTTATTTTCCCCACACTTTTGTCACTGTGGAACGGCGACTTTTTGATAAACTGAAAAACTCGTTGCTGCCCAAATCGCCCCTTTTCCCCATGTAGGAAAAATTTGACCAGGGCTAAGGGGTTTATAGGGTTCTATTTGGTACGCTTTCCCCTTCTCTTCCTCGGAACGACTGCCCTAGTCCCTTGGGGGAGAAGAAGATTATAGAAGATCTTTTTCATTTAGTTTCCCCCTGTGGTTTACGCCTCTCAGAAGCCTGCCAGCACATATCTCCTTTTCTTTCATCCACACGGGGTTTTGGGAACAGTT